TTATCCAGATGAAGTTTATGGCTACAGAGAAAGAGTAATAAGAAAAAAAGAACACCAAAGTAAGTTTTAGTTGATTAAGCATCAATATTCTTAAGGATTTCAGGCTCTGCTATTGAAACACAGAAACTGTAATTCCACCCTGAGAAACCCTCATGCAACTCCCAGTAGTCAAAGGGAGTGGCAAGCATGCTCATTAGGGGACAGCACTGCACCCACAAGCAGCAAGTCAATTTATGGAAAGGTTGTACACACTCTTACCCAACAGAGGAACACCACATAATCAGGAAAAACAGCAGTCCATTTCCTCAACTTCTCTTTCTGAGCCGAAATCCAGTGCCCATTCAGGCTTAAAAGGTGTGTATCTACAAAGTCATACTTGTGTCTCAAAAATTTAAACCGGCACATTTTACTTGTAAATTTAGCGAGCTCAGACAAGTTACTTCCTGTAAAATGCAATCACTTTGTATTTCAGCTTTCTATTTTGATGACTTTAAGAAACAAGACAGTCAAACCCAGCTTTCCAGTTTGAGTATTCATGCGCAGACTTTGTCACCGGTCTCACAAATCTTACGCGTTTGCTCTTTCTGCAGACAGTATGTACTCCCAAAGAAGTCACAGAAGTACTTGGCTAAGCATGAATTTAAGCATTTTCAGAAGAGAGGTCTTTCAAAGTTGTTACTGATTTGACTGGATTTGGACCACGCTAAATATAGAATCTGCCTTTCGCTAGATAGGATCTCAATGTAAAACCCACCAGGCAATATCACAGGTAACAACAGGTAGCTCTTGAAGTCACCTGCACATAAAGCCCTTAAAAACAGACCCAAATAAGTAGACCACCCAAAGTTTGCAGAAGTTCATGACTATATCATTCATACAGCTACGCTGTTCCGGGCTGTCCCCTGTGGCATCAGCTACACAAGCACCCACATCAAGGTGCATTTTAAAGCGTATTCGTATTTTCAGTCAGTTGAAGAAAATGTCCCTGCTTCCTAAGCAGACATGTAAAACATTAAGTCTTAAACATCTTTGTGTGCTAAAATGAAGGGTGACTGCACTTAGAAGGGCAGTTGGACAGGCAGCGGTTCAGAGGATGGCACAACCCTTTTCACCTCTCCGATGGGTACTTTTGTGTTGATAATTGGCATTATTAAATCTCAGTGACAGCACGATACTATGACCAACTATAAAAACATACAATGAGACTAATTTTTAAAGCAAAGACATTAGTCACTGTCACAGGAAAACTTTAATCTCCAAAAGTTAAATGTCACCTCCTCGCTCCATCCCAGCCAGCAACACTGTTACTGAGGTCACTGGCAAGTAACAATAGGTAGCTTTCATCTTGGTGATGTAAACTGTTTTCTTTTCTGTGATGTGCAGAGAAATAGCTGTACATATTTACGGAGGGACTGCATGCAGCTCTGGATGCATATTGTTTTAGTCGCGGCCAGCAATTGAGGAGGTCATGCTGCGCCTAGATAGGAGCCATGTTCACAAACACCACTCCCTTCTTTAAGCATGTTTTGGATAACCTGTTACATCATTCCTTGCTTTAAAACAATGTTATTCCCACTGCTACTTAATATAATATTTCCTTTTTTTTTTTTTTCCCCTCTTTTGTATTATCCCTACATATTCAACTAACAGTTTGGGGGCCTCGGGGGGTGGTGGTGGTAAATAATACCCTATTGTTCACGCAGGCCACACAATACTAACTAGGTACCCCTCCTATGTCACTGGGCTTTAAAGGTACTGGAGGCTTGACAATGAGGCCCAGACAAGAATTATCAGAGAGATCTGAGCAGTATTTTACACCAGGCACTGGTAAGGGCATACACGGCGCCCATCACACAAAGCCGACGAGCCCTCCACAAAATCACTTGGCGACATGGAGCTCATTTGCAATGGCTACGGAGGTTTTATCCTGTGAGACTGAAGATGTCCCCTTGAACAACCCAACCATAGGGCTCCTCATGCCACAGGTGCTCCCGCACAACTTTGGCCGCCAGCTTCACGGGGCAGAAAGCTCCCTAAAATCCCAGTGATCATCCTTGGCAGGTCCAGGTGTGCAGGGAGGGGACAGCCAACATTGGGTTTGTAGAGAGAGCCAAAGGATGCATTGGTGGAAAACAAAGTGGCAGCACTCACCGCTCTTCCATGCCAGCTCATTGCATGAGCAAAACTCCCCAAATACTCCCCACCTTGATGAAAACCTTGCTCCAAACGCTGCTTTTCCCAAAAAACACCCAAGACCTCTTGCAATAGAGTTATTCCTGACATGCTATCCCCCGGCAACAGCAAGCCTGAGGGTCTTGGGGGGCTGCACGGGGGGAGCACAGCTGCGATCCCCAACCCCACACACATACGTGTTCACACACCTGCCTCAGTGCAGCACCCACATCCCCGCATGCACGCACACACCTGCACCTAAAACTCTGCTTTTTTTTTTGGGGGGGGGAGGGGGACAACCAAAGGGTGGTTGCCAAGCCGAGTTAATGAAAAACCCTCTCGCTGCTAACTCATTTAGCGCAGCGAGCGTGAAATACAGCCGGTGGCACAGCGCCAACGCGCGGGGGGGACCTTCGCTACGGGCCCGGGGGGGGGAAATTGGCTGGGGTACTTCTGCGCTCTCTTCCCCAAAACAAATAATGTAATATATATATATATATATATATATATATACACACACACATATATATATATAAAATAAAAAAGCACCACCCCCGTTTTCAGGGAGCCTGGATGCAAATCACGAGGCCGGGGCAGAGGATGCGCCGGGGGCTGAAGGCAACACCGCACCTCGCCACGCCCGGACAACCCCCCCCCCCCCCCCCAAAAATCCTGCCCCCAAATCCCCCCCAGCGGGACCGGGCGGGGCCGGGGGCGGGCTCGGGGCTCTCGGGAGCCGCCCCGGCGGGGTGGGGACCGCGGGCGGGCGGGGACCGGGCGGTGTCCCCCCCCCCTTTCCTTGTCCCCCCCCCTCTCCGGGCTGCCTCCGCCCCCCCGGCCGTGACACCCCCAGCGCCCCTCCCCGCCGAGGGAACTTGGGCTCCCCGGGGGGGGAGGCAGTCCGGGGCGGGGAGGAAGAGGAGGAGGAGGAGGAGGAGGAAAGAGTCGAGTCTCTCCCCAAAAAGGGACTTTGACCTTACGCTGCTCCCCCTCGCCCCCCCCTTCCCCCCGAATTGCATGTTTTTGTCACAGGTCAGGTTATAGATGCTGCCGACCCGCGTTAATTTATGAACTCATCAGCCTAATTTCATTATTTAATCATGCGGCCGGCAATCGCGTTTCCTTAAGAAAGGCCTGACCTATTTTTGGCTGGAGATAAACGATCATGTTAACAGATGTTAATCTTGTAATCTGTTTTTCCTGTAAGCACTCCGCATACCCGGGTTTCAGACATTAAAAAATAAATAATGAAAAAAAAAAAATCTTTCCCAAACGACCTGACGTCACGATTCGGTTCTTGTAAAAAAAAAAAAATAAATAAATAAATAAATAAATAAATAAAAATCTCGCAGTGCTTTCAAAGACATTAAATCTTTTTCACTTTATAAATGCTGATTTGTTCTGCCTCAACTCCCACAGGCTTTTATTTGCATTTCAAATTCCACAGGTTACACCAGTCGCCTTTTCAGAAAACGTAAACCAACAATAAGGCAGCAAAAGGGGGGGGGGGTGGAGTGGGGGGGCGGGGAGGGGAGCCGTGCATCTGGATTAAATAAAGAGCAGAATTAATGTTTTCCAAAGTAGCCCGAGCAAATTTTACATTGGCACGTCGAGCGCCCATAGCCGCAACGCGGGGACCGGGCTCGGGACGCACAATGCGCATTGCCCCGAAGATCCCTGCCCGCTGCCGGCAGCTTTAGTAAAGGCTCCTGAGAAATAAACGGTGCCGGCTCCGACCCGGCACTTCCTCAGCTTCGAGGACACGGTTCGGCTACGGCAGTTAATTGCGGGGTTTTGCTGCTTTTTCGAGCAAAAAAATAGAATAATAATAATAATTTTAAAAAAAAAAAAAAAAAAGACACGGTTCGGCTGGCTGTCATTCCCCACAAGCCTCCGCACACGTACCCGCCCGCTTTAATCCCCCACCTTGGTCGCCCGGAACAAAGTTTCCCCATAGAAAACTTTCCCTAAACTTGCCCGGGTGCTTAATTCGCATTAGGCTCGCAACTCCGCCGGATGCTAATGAGCACCGAAGATAGGAGCGGGGGGAGGGAGGACGAGGAGGAGGAGGAGGAAAGCTTTTATAGCACAAAATGTCTGGAACTGCATTATTTCTATTCTTCTTGCCTCTCCAGCCACCCCCCCACACCCTTTTTTTTTTTTTTTTTTTGCCATCCACATCCAACTCCCCCCACCCCACCCGGGCTGTTTTCTCCCTTCTCCTGGAAAGGATCGCTCCGGGGACACCGTCCTTCGAGCCCTTCTCGCTGTCTATGCGAGAAGAATTGTTTTCTCTCCCCACCCACCCCCAACTTCCTTTGATAAACTGTGCACTTCTTTAATGGGGAGCACTCACTTATCTGCCAGCAACTGCGAGCAACTCGGGAACAAGGGCGCAATACGAGGCGTTTTTACGCGCACGCCGAGCCGGCACCATCGGGAAAATAATAATAATAAGAGTAAGAAAGGCGAAGAAAACACTCAATAATTTAAGCGGCTCCTCGGGCTCGGAGCCCCATCACCCACCTTCATTAGCTGCAGCGTTTTACTTTCAAGGAAGGCAATTTGCTCTTTGTCTCTTAACGGGCTAACACGGCGCTCAGCGCCCCCCTCCCGAGCGTGCAAAGCCCCCCCGGAGCCCCCTGCCCCCCCCAGCGGCCACACCGGTCCCCGACACCCCAAAAGTTCCCATTTTGGACCCGAGGGGCTGCAAGCAGGGATGGGGGGGGGACGGACACCCCAATCCCATGCGTGCTAGCTGGGAGGGGGGGGAGGGCGAACTTTTCCCCCAAGGGCGCTGCCCCCCACCCCCGGGTACCCTCCCTCACCTCTTCCTCGGCCGCTTTCCTCCGCGGGGAAGCCCCCCCGCCGCCCTGAAGGTGAAGCCGAGCGCCGCATGCGAGCGGCGGCGGCGAGGAGCTGCACATGATCCGCCGAGCGGCTCCACGGGGGCGGCCCCCGGCCCCCGCCGGCCCCCGCCGGCCCCCGCCGCGCCCCGCGCCCGCGGACCGCCCCCGCGCACCGCCCGCGCCCGTGCCGGGGGGGAGAGGGGGGCGCCGGGGGGGGGCTGCCGCTGCCCCGCTTCCCACGGCCCTCCCTCCGCCCGGCAAGGTGCGGGGCTGCCCCAGATGCATTGCCAAGAGAAACTTTGCTTTTCCCCTTTCCCCCCCCCCTTTTTCCTCCTTTTTTCCCCTTCTTTTTCATTTTTTTCATTTTTTTTTCATTTTTTCATTTTTTCCCCTTTTTTCTTTTTTCACTTTCTTTTTTTCCCCCTTTTTTATTATTTCTTTTCTCTTTCCTTTCTCTTTTTCTTCTTTTTCTTTTTTTTTCATTCTTTTCATTATTTTTTTTTCCTGGGGGATGGGGTGGGGAGCGAATGGCGCTGCTGCAACATTTACGGACCCATCGCAACGCCAAAAAGTCCTCAGCCGAGAGACATCAAAGCCTTGATACCGTTCAGCGGCCGCGCTGGGGAAGTTGAAAGCCCTCCGACCGAATCAATCTGCCATATGGCTCCCCCCCCCAAAAAAAAAAAAACCACAACAAACAACAAACAGCACAACACCACCACCGCCACACGTAAACCCGGTCCTGCGCCTGAAAAAAAAAAAAAAAAAAAAAAAAAAAAAGTTCAAGCCCTATTTCCCTATGTATTTGCGAAGCTCGCCTTAATCACGCCAAATATGTGTGCCATAGGCGACCGGAATATGTTTAGTCTACGGCTGGAAAACCCGAATTTAATCTGCTAAAGCTTGCTCCTAGACATCAAGGGTGGGGAGGATTTTTTTTTTTCCTTTTTTTTTTTTTTTTTCCCTTTTTTTCCCCTTTTTTTTCTCCTTTTTTTTTTTTTTCTTTTTTTTTTTCTCTTTTTTTCCTCTTTTTTTTTTTTCCTTTCTTTGTCTCGTAACGTGCGATGACGTCGAATTGACACGGAGCACATTGGAGGAGGCTCCCCACTTTATCCCCCCCACACACCCCTAGTGCCGGACCCCCGAGCCCCCCCCGGCCTCCCTCCGGGCTCCGTCTTGCGCTCCGGGACATGAGCTGCTCCGGCACCGCTTGCAAAAAAAAAAAAAAAAAAAAAAAAAAAAAAAAGAACACCAAGAAACAGCAAAACAAGACCGGGAGGAGGGAAAGGGGGGGCTCCGAGCTCGGCCGTTTGCAGCACGGCTTGCCAGAGCCCTCGGAATAAAGAAAAGGGGAGAGGGTGGGGGGGGGGGGAAGCAAGCGAGAGGGAAAGTTGGTAATGAAGGATACACGAATCATAAAATGTAAGCTATGTGTGATTAATGATCTGCACTAATTTGAATAGCAGGCGTGTTAAAGGTCATTGACAATTGTTGCTGCTTTCAGCATGAATGCCTGAGTGGGATGTATTTGGGACAATCACGTTTACTTCTAATTCACAGAAAAAAAAATAAAAATTACTGGACATGAGTAGCAGCTGGTCAAAATACAGAGAGGGCACCCCCCAAAAAATGCCCTTTGCCTATTCTTCCAAAGCACCTTCATTACCTTAAGGCAGTGTTTTTAATGCCACAATGGTAAATAATATATCTGGATCGCCTGGATTTTGTTCCTTATGTATACATCAGCATCTTTCCTACACACTTTTGCAATCCAGGCCAAATTCTGGCCTCGGTTGCCCCAAACCTTTGGGACAACTGTGTTTGCTCATTGTGGATGCACCCACGTGGAGACCAAAGCAGAAGTCACCGCTGCGAGCTTCAAGAATTCACCCTGGGCACACGCATACAACACGAGAGCGCGGATCCCCTAATCACAGTTTATATAGTAGTTCAGCATTTCTTTACACAAAGAGTAAAAAATCCATTATAAATCAGCATTCCTGGGCAGTATTTAGAACTACAGTATTAGGCTAATAATTTCCATATGGTGAAAATTGACAAGTTAGAGCAATGAAAGGTGCATGAGACTTCCAAACTCCTCTACACAGAAATGCGATTTTCATGACCTACCCCTTTTCTTTCATAGTCTGTGTAGGTTCTCTTTGTTAGACAGTAAATTGTGAGCACACTCAACACTGTGCTTGCTGTATTGCTTGACAGAGTCCTGAAAATGCTTAATATTTTCCATATTTGCTTCCATACGGCCCAGTCTTGCACCCCTTGCTCCCATTAAAAGGATAGTGGGGCTACAGGGGCGAAGGGACGGGAGAGCCCATCTGAAGCCCAGCAAGTGAGGGGCATTCCACTTTAATGGAAAGGCAATTAAAAATTCAGAAGATGCAGAGACTTTAAAAACAATCAAGCGGTATATTAATTTCACGGAAAGCCACTAGCAGAGTTCCTCTGTCCATGTAATTTTAAATAGGAGATTTTCTCACATTTCTTCTGCTGATCCCAGCACTTCTGAGTTTTGAAAGCAAACCTGGAACAGGGGGGTAAGAATTCATATGCCGAGAAGACGCGCAGAATGTCTTTGGCCTGACATCCTCGATGGCATTAGACATTTCAGGTGGAGGAGACATCCTTAATTTTCGAACCGTTATTAACATGCCATTACCCTGGGTGATTAATCTGTTTGCAGACATTGTTTACCCACTTTATCTTTGCCAGAAATCTTCCAGGAGATGTCCTCCTGTTTCAAATTCTTTAAATTACAGTATTTTGTATGAGAATGTCAGTGATATTAATGGCTCAATACGCGTTTTGCTATTTATAGACTCGTATGTATAATAATTCTGGCTAATGAAATACTTGGAGCAGGAAAGCATTTATTTACTTTTGCTATAGCCTAATAAATTATTTGTTCAGCGTTTGGGACTCGGCTTTCTCAAGTTAAGGAAAATGGCATTTTGATGAAAATCTGTGCAATGACTTGTCTGCATAACTTAGCCTTAGGAATGATTGGTGGAAGTTTAGATAAGAAAGGTTCCTGAGAAACACCATAATAGAATAGCGAGGAATAAAGGCCGTGTCTCTAAAAGCAAAGTTGAAAGCATGTATAAATACTTCAAGGCAGGCAAACAAGCCAAGTTTGAATTACATTTTATATGTGTGTGTGTGCGTGTCACATACACAGATATTTTCAGTGAAATGTAACTAGAGGAGTCAGTTTTAGTTTTCACTGGGTGCTTGCTCAGAGCTTTTGTGCTGGCAAGTATTTTTTGTTGCCACAAACCTATCTGAAATGTAGAGGATGTATGGAAATAATGCAAATCCAGGATGGCTTGAGGCTCTTGGGATTTTTTTAAGGATTCTGCCCCTCCATCTCAGGACTCAGACTAGCATTTTTCTTGGTGTCGCCCTTCATATTTCTCTCTCAACCATCCCTTCTAAACGCAGCCCTTAGCTTTAGTTAGTTCTCCAGTTCTGCCAATAAAGCAATATATTTTATTTTAATCTAAACCAGAGATTTTGCTTTCAAAGTCTGCTTGGGTTAAAAAAAAAAAAAAAAAAAAAAAAAAAAAAAGTCTGACAACAAATAATCTTGCACTAATCTTCTGTGCTCTAAAACAGGCTTTTTCTTAGTACATTTGGAAATACAGAGAGCATGTGTAGAACTTGCAAACTAGAGGGCACAGATGCCACTAATACCCATGTACATCTGCAGAACAGTGCACAGAAACGCTCCCAGAGATGTTTTTTAACTAGAAAATCAAATTTCTGATTCCAGTTAAAATCGGCCATTCTACCACTCATGTGCTTTCAGAGTTTCTGTGGGGGGCACAAATTTCCCCCTAAAACAAAATGGTTTTGATCAATAATATGTATACACTCTGATAAAATGCATCAACTTCTCTCACGCGCACTGCAAAAATTTGTCTGCTGCACGGTGCGAGGCCAATCCTGAAGTTTGTCCTGTGGGAATGCACCATGCTCCAACAAAGATTTGCGCCCTAATGTACTTGGTCTGCATGGAGTAAGGTCAAGCTCTTGTGCCCCATTAATTTGGTCATGCACTGATCCAGCAAACAGGCTGCAAAATAGTTTTCCATTTGAAGAGCTGAACGTATTTCTGGATCTGAGGAATCTATTAGCACATAACCACAATAAGAGACTTGGGCATATCTGATGACAAACTGGATGGGGTGTCAGGTTGTGGTCGTATCCTCTCTACCTTTTACTCATCACACAAGTTGCCCCATTGCTATTAGTGGAATTACTCTAATGATAAATATGACCTGCATTTGTCTCCGCCATCTTATTTATGGCACATGAAAAACTTTTCCTTACGGCAGAAATAATCCAGAGAACTTTCTTGAAGACGCAGCATTTTTAACTCTAATGCCTTTCATACTTGCCCCTACCATCAACACAGTTGCTAGGATATAGCCTGATTTTGATTTTTGTGCTCTGCTCCTCTCAAAACCACATTTTCTTACATCAAGCTATTTGACATTGCTTTTATAATGACATTGAGGAAGAGAGCAGAACAAGTTAATGCTGCAGAGTACGTACAGCCCCAGCATACATGGTTATTTTAGGTTCAGGCTACACGCTGTATATAGTACCAACTTTTCCAGCCCTGGCAGTCAGATTTTCTCACCCATATGTAATTTTATAAACTACATCACGGCTTCACAGCAGGTAGGGAACCCACAAACCTGTTCTTAATTTCGAGTTAACTGAAAGAATCTCGGCAGCAGCTGGTTTCAGCATAGCTGATACAGGATTCCACAGATGTGGCCCATAATAGGTTCAGAAATAAAAAGAACTAGGCCACGATGTCGAATTAATTTCAAGGAAGACAAATTCAATAAGGATGCCACTTTTACAGAGATTTTTAAGATATCTTTGGGAGGGCATATTTTGGTGGCCTGGGCTTTTTCATGCTGTCTACCGATTGCAACGCTGCATTTTCTAGCAGGCTGAACCTGGCTGTTGGCGTGCCGCACGCCCTCGGAGAGGAGAAATGGGCTGTTTCTGAGTTTTTGTCCCCTCCCCCCGACCCTCTTCTGCTCCTCCAAGCATAACTGATAGTACTGGCCTGTCTGAGCGCCTCTCAGACTGGACCA